TGTGTACAAAAAATAGCTCGAATTACTTTTATTTTTAACTAAACAAAAATAAACTTCTATTTCCGTTAAGGGAAATTACAATTCCCTTAACGAAAATGTTATTTCCCTTAACGGAAATGCTATTTCCCTTAACAGAAATTACATTTCCCTTAAGAGAAATTAGTGGCGCTATCTGTGGTGAAGATGCCGAAGGTTGGAATGCCAGAATCTTTCATTTTGTTTGAATGCAACAAATATGACACAATTAACAATAATGAATAATATTACTACTACAGTTTGCTATTTACTACTTCTTTTCGTTTTAATATCCTTTATTAGAAACGTTAAAACACACCTTACACATGCGGCGTTGCCACACAACATTCGATTCGAATGAAGCGATTCCAAAGTCAATCGGTGTCATCGCGATTCGATTCGGAGAGTTTGGTTTTCTCGAGTAGTACCCATAATTATTAATATTACTATTATTATAGCATTATCAATACAAATTTTGTGACAATTTTCTGAAAATTCGATAATTTTGTCAATAATTTGTCGATGATTTGTCGATAAATTCACTTTTTACATCTGGCAACACTGGTGGGTGATATTTTGTGGGTGGCTGTCAACAGGTGTAACGGTTGGTTTTTAAATTAAAAAGGTAACAATCAAAAAAATTCTTTTTACTAATAAATCTTTTGTAAAATCACAGTGCAATAATTTCATTTTATAGAATTTTGATAAAAATAACTATTTGAACTTCAGCCGTCCTCTCATAGATGGCGCCAATTTCCCTTAACGGAAATGCTATTTCCCTTAAGGGAAATACAATTTCTCTTAACAGAAATGATATTTCCCTCAAGGGAAATTGCATTTCCGTTAACGTAAATGCATTTAAATTCTTAATTATAATAAAAACTACTTTCCTTAACGAAATTTGCATTAAAATTACTATTTGTCATAAAAATAATTTTTATTATTATTTCAAATAAAAATGAAATGTTTTAGTATTTTTATTACAATTTCGAATGTAAATCATCCTCTACATCTAATCTTTTCAATTTAATGTACCCAAAATTTCAATGCTTATTAAAAAAGGAATTTTATTTATAATTTGTAATTAAAATGTAATTTCCCTTAAGGAAAATACATATAATTTCAATTATCTAATGTCTCATGGAAATCAAGTCGAATTAAAATGGGACTTGATAGCCATGTGTAATAAAAACTAAAACGGCTTGCCATAGATTCCGTACCCTAATTTATAAACATCTCTACGGTTTTTGTATTGTTCATCTTTTACGGAAGGAATGGAGGAAGGAAGAAAGGCAATATTTAAATCAGGCTTTAAGTTTCCGATATCAATAAGCGCAGTCCTGTAATAAATTTATTAATAACTGTTTCTTGTTATTAGCGTTATTATAACACATTAACTTTATTAATGCATTTATCTAAATTATACATATTTTTTTAACCGGTAGTTCAAATATATTTACCATCTTGTGAAAATTAACTATATTTAATTTTTTACAGATGAATACATTTTTCCCGCGTTTTTACAAACTGGTAAAGATATTTGAACTACTGGTTACAAAAATATTTATAATTAAAATAAATGCACTAATAATGCTAATGTGTGATAATAATTATAATAATAAGATAGGTTAATATGTATCTATGTACCTATTAATAAATTTATAGCAGTAGTTTGTTCATATTTGAAGCTCAACAGTTGCCAGTTAGCGGCACCTGTAGTTCGAATGCACTAACACCGCATATAGTGCGTTTTTTAGTTCAGTAAGAATGAAAATATGACATTACTTAAAAATATGCTTTATTTTATTAAGTAATCAAATAATTATTATCTTCTATGATATTTTTAATTCGAATTATACATTTCTCCTATGATATTTTTAATTCGAATTATTAATTTCTACTATGATAATTTTAATTCATTTCAAAATTTCTCCCATGATATTTTTAAATAGAATTACAAATATCTCCTATGATATTTTTAATTCGAATTAAAAATATCTCATTTGTTATTTTTAATTTGAATTATAAATTTCTCCTATGATATTTTTAATTCGAATTAAAAATATCTGCTATGATATTTTTTATCCATTTAAAAATTTCTCCTATGATATTTTTAATTTGAATAATACATTTCTCCTATGATATTTTTAATTCGAATTAAATATATCTCCTATGATATTTTTAATTCATTTAAAAATTTCTCTTATGATATTTTTAATTCGAATTATACATTTCTCTCATATTTTTTTAATTTGTTTAAGAATTTTTACCATAATATTTTTAATTTAAATTATAAATTTCTCCTATGATGTTGCTCATTCGAATTCTAAATTTTTCCCATGATATTTTTTATTCAAGGAATTAAAAATATCACTTTAACATTAAAATTTACCGCATTTTTTAATTTGTTCTATGATATTTTTAATGCAATGAATTAAATTTCTGACTTGGTATCTTTTATTTATAAATAAATATCACATTTGCAACTTTAATTTGGGATTTCTGAAATTGATTTAGAGATATCTGAAATTAATTTTACATATCTAAAATTAATTTCACATATCTGAAATTGATTTAGAGATATCTGAAATTAATTTTACATATCTGAAATTGATTTAGAGATATGTGAAATTCAATGGAGAAATAAATAATTCCTGAATAAAAAATCAAACGGCGCGCCATAGATAAGCTTCAACTAAATAATAATCTAGAAAAATAAAATTGAGGTGCGTAAAAAGAGTCAAACGCCGCCAAAGCCAAATACAAAGCCGCGAGGCGGTGCCGACTTTGTACATGCCGCTTGTGTGAAATATAATGTCCTTTAATAAAAATAGGGTTGACCAATACAATTTTCTTGACGGTAAAGATTATAGGAGGTTATTAAATAGATTAAAAATTATAATTTTGTAACACACTACACACTCAGAGAAATATCATGTCATGAAAAGGGGCCGTTCATTAATTACGTGAGGTGTTTAGGGGGGGGAGGGGGTCGAGCCAAACCTCACCAAATCTCACGTGGGGGGGAGGGGGGTTCTCGGCAAATATCACGTAATTTTTTTTTCCGAAAGAAAGAGTGTAAAATTGCGAGAAAACTGGGTTAAATTAAGTAAACAATTATAAGCAAATTGTTTTTTTTTTAATAAATCTAATGGAATCAAGCACACATTAACTTATTTACATTAAAACCATGCATTTTAAAAAATCTCACGTGAGATTAAGGGGGGGGGAGGGGGTCGAGCAAAATCTCACGACATCTCACCAAGGGGTGGGGGGGAGTCGAAAAATCGCCAAAATTGTCTCACGTAATTAATGAACGGCCCCAAAGCATATGAAATGATATTAATTTAAATAATCGGGTAAATTTGATTCAAATAGAAAAAAATGTAGTTTTATATTCATTTACCAACAGTTTTACAATGTTTTTAAACACTTTTAAAATGTACTCTTTTTAAAATATATATACAAAAAGAAATCTATTTATTTCATTGCCTTTCTCAACGTTATTTTAAAAATATATGTATTATACAATTGTTATACACCTTTTAATTTAATGAGAAACACCAATGACGCCAAAACATATTTGAATCCCTTTGAATTATTAGGGATTCAAATATGTTTTGGCGTCATTGGTGTTTCCCATTAAATTAATAGGTGCATAACAATTGTATAATACATATCTTTTTGAAACAACTTTGAGAAAGGCAATGAAATAAATGGATTTCTTTTTGTATATATATTTTAAAGAGGGTACACTTTAAAAATGTTTCAAAACATTGTAAAACTGTTGGTAAATGAATGTAAAACTAATTTTTTTTCTATTTGAATCAAATTTACCCGATTATTTAAATTAATATAATTTCATATGCTTTTCATAACTTGATATTTCTCTGAGTGCATATTATGTAGGTTGGTTGGTAGGGTAGGTATACCCAACCAACCGACCCAAATACTAAAGATTTTTCCAACCGTGTTTGGATTTGGAACCAACTGCCAAGACTTTGGGGGGGTGACTCCCCCCCTACACCCCCCTTAGGCCCGGCCCTGTCTACAGGAAGCCCTACCAGGTAGGTTAAACATTATTCGAATGCGCGCTTTTGAATAATAAATACTCTATTTGCTGATGTTCCTCTTCCCCAAAAAATTATATTATAAGATATATGCGAGTAAAATAGTCCATACTAGGCATTTAAGAGTGTTGTAGAGTGTTGTTTAGTGTCATTAGGGCTTATTTTACAACGCACGTTCGGGATATAATATTTGTCAATTGTCAAACACAAGTATAAAAAAACAGGATGTGATTGAAGAAAGAAATGAAAGAGGGCGCAAGGGTCGTCTTCCGACATATACTTACCACAAAGTGTGGTAAGTATATGTCTTCCGAAAGCGCCTCTATTAAATCATTGTAACAAAGATATTAAATTATTTAAACTGCATTTCTCGAGCGTAATTCTTGAAAAAATCGCCAATTGAAAGAATTTTAGTAGGTATACCGTATATCAAATGAAATTGATTATCATTAACACACGTAAAAATGCCGCCCCCCCATTATGCCGCTCTGGGCCGTTGCCCGGTTCGCCCGTACCTCGGGCCGGCCCTGGTAACTATGTATTAGATTCTGTTTAATAAACTTTGATTAAATAATGATTTTTATCTTTTAAATCAAGATGATTTAATCAAGATGATTTAATCAACTGATTTTTGTCATCATCATTGATAATTAGTAAAAAAAGCTTTGACTTACTTTTATTGCCCATATTTGTTAAATTTGGCTACAACGGGCGCTGTATTGATTATTTAGTATTATGACTAAAAATCTATATGTAAGAACCCCGAAACAACAGGTGGTGTTAAAGGATAATGAGCAGAAACAATTAGAGGAAAGTAAACGGTAACAGCACTGTCCAGGATTAGAGCGGAGTATCATCCAATGAAGGAGACGTCTCCCACATGCTATAGCCACGAGGAGGGGACGATGGGAACAGCGCCGCGACGCCGCTTGCATCCCGATTTAGTGGAAGGCAGCATGTGGTGGTGGCTGCTAATAGTGGCTATGGCGACGGCCAAACGCGCACCGTCAGCCCAAGAACCAGTCATCGAAGAGGTCACGGCCAAACAGCTGGAGCGCGTGCTAACCGAAAAGGACTATGTTGCTGTGTTCTGGTGTAAGTAACTTCTTTCTACCCTTAAATGATGCCGTCAACTTTTTTTGTCTCAGCAACTTAAGAGTTTGGATTCAAGTGCTTGTGTAAAGTGTCGCTACTATGTAAACCGGGATTTAAACATGCCATATCCCGATTTGGCTCGCTGTGTTCTCTCGTTAAGTGTACAAGCTGCTAGACACCACATCTACTCCCGCTTAGTATTTTGTCCTGACGCAATCTAGATCTGTAATTGTATCCGTCTTCATTGTTAAAAGGCTTGCTCAAAAACTTGCCACTAACGCCTCCGCTTAAAAACACTACAAAAATAAATATTTTTTATTTCAACACATCATACAGTCAGTATATTATTATATATTAGCAGTACCATTTTTTAAAAATAGTCCCTCAGATATATTTAAGTAGTATTTTTAAATCCCAATTTTATACTTCATCCAATACTTTTTCAGCATTATATAATTTATAAAACAAAACATTTTTATAATTATTAGCCTAATTTTATTTTTAGAAACAACTAACCTCGATTTTCCGTACACTAACATTTCTGTTGAGAATTATCTTAGATAATGAAACACATGTTTCCTATGCTTATAATTTTTTATACATTTTAAAAATATTTATGAGCTGATCAGAGTATACATATTTTTTGTCATTTATATGTGGTTAAAATGTTGCATTAAATTATATTAATAACTTGAAAATAATTTACATTCCTTGGTAAACCTATAAATAAAAAAAATGATACATATAATAATATCTCTATGTTTATAAGATTTAACAAAAATAATTAATCAAGTAATAATAATAATTTTTAATTAAGAAATATTACTTTGGTTTAATACATTTTTAATAGTTTACAAATATTATATTTTTAATCTGTAGTTAAAAAAAATAAATGCAAGCATGTTTAAATTTGGTCAAATTTTTTAACACTTAAGCCTCATTCAGAACCTCGTAATTAGTGGAAAAAATTAGTGGTTTCAATTATACTTATAATTAACACAAAACGATCATTCACAATGCGCAAAATTAACATCTAAAATTAAGGGAATTTTCTAAAAGATTGTCCATTCTTCTTAACCTGACATAAACAATATTAATTATAGTAAAATAATATTTTTAACAACCATTAGAATAATATATATATTAGACTGGTTCAAAAAAATCCAATATTTTTTCTTCTTCAAAGCCCGCATTGAAATATCTTCATAGTAGTGAAAAAAGAAGCCTGTGAAAATTGTAGCTCTTAATATTAATATTTAGAGGTCGCTCACCGTGAATTTCTATTTTACGTTTAAATAACACAGGAATTCTTTTTTCTTAACTTTGAAATTTTATAACTCGTTTTTGAGTGAACATATTGGAATAAGCGACACATATTTTTAAAGAAAATTGAACTCTCTACAAAAAATGTCTCTTATATTTTTTTTATAAATTTACTTCTTTTGTAGTTATTCAAGGTTGAAATTAGACATAATATTATATTATATTATATTATATTAAATTTAACGTTTTTTTTTCAATTGGTGGCATAATAATAAACCTTATAACTCATTATTGTACATGATGGTCCAGTTTGTAATACATTAATTTTAATAGGTGATAAAGCATCAAAAATAAGGTAGACTTTCATAAAAAAAACATTTCTTAAAAATGTTTCCAGGCCGTCAAAGTTTCCAAAAAAAATAGTTTTCTCTTCATAACTTTTAAACCACAAAATTAATTTGGCACACAATGTAATATAGTCAGTGCCTTAATAATGATGTAGATAATTATTATAAAAAACATCAGTGCCGCAGTTACTTGGGGGGCTGCTCCCCTTTTCACCTCAGTCTTTGACGCCACTGGAAATTTTAAAATAATAAATAAATGTTTAGGTCAAGTTTTTAATTAAGGGAAAAAATTTACTCTTGTAAAATTTTGATTTGGGGCTTCGTTTCTAAAATATTTGCTCAAAAATGTTTCCTCGCAAAATTACATTTTTAGAATGTCTGTTCAATTTAGAGATAAAAAACTACTGTGCTAAAATTTTAATTTAGGGCTTCGTTTTTGAAATATTTGGGAACACACTCCAAAAAAACTACGGCAGAAGTATTCTTGGATAAATAAATTAATTATTTAAAAAATGAAGCACTAAATCAAAATTTTACATGAGTAGTTTTTTTCTCTAAATTAAACAGATAATCTAAAAATGTGTTTATTATTAAAAAAAATTCCAGTGGCGCCTAAGGTGAAAAGAGGAGCAGCCCCCCAAGTAACTGCGCCACTGATGTTTTCTTTAAATAATTATCCACATCATTACTATATTGTGTACAAAATTTGATAAAAATTGATTAGGTGGTTTAGAAGTTATGATGGGGAAACGAGTTTTTTTGTAAACTTTGACGGAAAGCGTCTCTGCGAGGAAACATTTTTAAGCAAATATTTCAGAAACAAAGACCCAAATCAAAATTTTACAAGAGTAAATTTTTTCTCTAAATTAAAAACTTGACCTACAAATTTATTTAAATTTTTAAAATGTTTAGTGGCGTCAAAGACTGAGGTGAAAAGGGGAGAAGTACCCCCACATTATTATTAAGGCACTGACTATATTACATTTTGTGCCAAATCTGATGAAAATTAATGTTGTGGTTTAAAAGTTATAAAGAGAAAACTAGTTTTTTTGTAATCTTTGACGGCCTGTATTTTTCTTAGGAAACATTTTTGAGAAATGTTAATTAATGAAAGTCTACCTTCAAATTAATGTATCACAAACTGGACCTCCTGTATAATCTTTTTTAAAAATTTTATATAAATTATGTTTCCTAAAAAAAAATTATCGCTCATTCCAATATGTCCACTCAAAAAAAGTTATAAAATTAAAAGTTAAAAAAAAATCCTGTGTTATTTAAAAACGTTACATTTATTATATGTCTAATTTCAACCTTGAATAACTATTAAAGGAGTGAATTTACGAAAAAATTATAGGAGACATTTTTTGTAGAACCTTCAATTTTCTTTAAAAATATATAGAGTTCATTCCAATATGTTTACTCAAAAACGAGTTATAAAATTTCAAAGTTAAGAAAAAAGAATTCCTGTGTTATTTAAACGTAAAATAGAAATTCACGATGAGCGACCTCTAAATATTTATATTAAGAGCTACAATTTTCACAGGCTTCTTTTTTCACTACTAGGAAGATATTTTAATGCGGGCTTTGAAGAAAAAAAATATTCGATTTTTTTGAACCAGTCTAATATATAATATATTATATAATATAATATTATATATATATATAACCTTACCTTCACTGGCAAATCTTTAAACTTTTTGCTTTTGACATAAAATATCCGCCAGGCCCGGCTCCAGACATTTTGGGGGATTTTTATGAGGACGGGGGAAATTTTGGGGGATACTTTTTCTGGGGTATTTTTTGGGGGAAGTATTTTTATTTTTGGGGGAAAAGGGGGATTTTTTTATGAAAATAATTTATTATATTAAAAACTTAAAGATATTGAAACTATTTTGCCATCTCTTTTCTCAGCCTAGTACCTACTATTAAAAAAATACAGTTTGTTGCAAATGTGTTTGTTCAAACGCTAAACGATCAAAAATGTTTTATTTTGTTCTAAAATAAAATCGGACAACGGGGATTCCCCGTGTATGAATGACTTTTAATATTACACAACTAGAAAAGGTTAGGCTGTTTTCGTTAATTAGTGTTTTCGTTAATTCGTTTTGTGTTTTGTGAATTAAAATTAAAATTACCGGCCGAAAAACAAAGGATTTTTGGTTTAGCTCGATTGAATTGTTGGTCATGACATACCTAATATATTATGCTCATAAATATCGTCGATTGTATTGTTGGTCATGACATCATATTAAACTCATAAATATAGGACGGCTTGGGAAAAAGATAATGAACTTATAGGTATGTTTACTGAGTTTGTTATTTTTAATTAGCTTTGTTTTTTGTTAGATTGGATAGCAAAAGATCCCGATGACGATGAACGAGCAAATTTTGTAATTGTTCCCTTATATCACATAAAAAATACTTGTTATTGCATAATAAATCAAAAAAACATAAAGAATCTCAAACACCAGCATTCTTTCGCTAATTACTAATTAAAATTGGTATAATTTGAATCATGACTCTTGTTCAGTGAAAGTACGCACGTGTCAGTCAAGAATAACCCTATTTTTATTTGGGGGATTTTAATGGTAAAATAGTGATTTTTGGGGTATTTTTAAAATTCTTTGGGGGAATTTAGGAACAACCACCTGGCAGCTGTGATATTATATTAATTTTGTATAAAATTTGCATAAATACCTTAAAAACACACAAAAAGCCCAGCAGAATGTAAATACCACAACCACAGGGAACAAAATGTTTTCTTTCAAATTATAAATTTCAAATAGGTGGTACACAAAGAAGTTCAATATTAAAAACAAAGCAAAATCCTGATAAATCAAAAGAAACCGCACATTGGGCGCGTGCCATTCACCCTTTGTCGGCGCTATTATAAAGAAAGCCGCATTTTTATTTAAAAATGGGAAATAATAGTACGGTAACTTTTTGCCGCCTTTCAATTTTTGCCGCCCTTCGAATTTTGCTGCTATTCGATTTTCAAACTTTTTCCACTAATTGAAAAGTACTACCACTAATTTTCTGGTTGTGAACAACACTGTGTATATTCATAAGACAAACTTTTACGTTAATTGAAACCACTAATTTATTCCACTAATTACGAGGTTCTGAATGAGGCTTTACGCGTCTCGAAATTTATGCATCCAATAAGTACCATCCTTAATAGTTGTCTAAATAATATATATAATATATCTAAATAATACCTATATAATATATAATTAATATTATATTGAATTAATTCCAAATATACAACTAAATGTATATTTAGTAAATATACATTTAGTTGTAAATTCGGAATTAATTCAATATAATATCAATTATATAAAAGTAAAGAAGTTACTATTAATGGCATTTTAATTTCACAAAAAAAGTTTT